TGTATCACGAGAAGATCTAATAGGGAAAGTTGCCAAAGGAAGGTACAGAATGTTGTTTATAGGACCCACTTTTTTTATTTGTTTGTTCTAAAACGAATAATGTACTTAGTTTATATTTAAACATACAATTATTATTTTACTTATTTTATTTTTAATGAGAAATTGTTTTTGCTGCATAAATTGAAGATTCCATAAAATCTATTTCTATTAAAGTTTTCAAGATTATAAATTTTAAATTTTTTTTATTTTTCTTAAATTTCGTGTCCTATCAAATTATGGCATATAAATTAATACGGAAAAATAGTAGTAACATTTTATTTAACTCTTAATATTTCCTAAACTCTTTGCACTGCTTCATTGATGTAGTATAAAAGTTTTTTACTGTAAATTTGTAATTACGTAGACAAGAGTAGATTATTCAAGTGGTGCATCCTTCACTTCTAATTCGAGTCATCCCAAAATTATGATGGGAGTTCTTGGAGGCAAAAAAACAAAATTATGTATGTAACTTAAACTCAATTATTAAATAAAGTAGTACTTTATAAATTTTCCCTTTCATCATTGCAAAGGTGAGGCAGTGCCCATAACTTGTAGATAAGCCCCTGTACTGCAAGAGTGAACATAAAAGAGAAATTTAAGTGCATAGCGGCCATTTTTGCTTCTCCTTAGTCCTTAAGCAGATCAGAAAGATGGATGCGATAGTACAGGTGCCTTACAATGCTACGGTGCGTTTAATGCTGTCTTCTCTAGAGCGCAACCTCTTGCCTGACGCCGTTATACGGCGGCTCACACGACTGCTCTTAGCTGCCCGACTTCGTTCCAGTTACAAGCCTTCCGCTGAGCTTCAGCTCTCTGACCTTCTCCACTTTGTGCACTGTACGCACTTTTCTCTAACTTTTTTTTTTTGTAAAGTTCAAGTTCAGTTTTAATTTCAGAAAATCATTGTTTTTCCACTACTACTGAAGCACAGTGTATATATTGTGTGTTAAACTTTGTTTTATGGTCAAGTTTCACTTTTTTGCTGGAGCTTGTAATTTGAAAATTTTAGTGTAACTTCTCAATTTTTAGGAAAATTTGAGGCGGATTATGCATGTGAACCAAAAGCAGTAGAAAATTTATTTTACAAGCTGAGATTTAGCAAAGGAAGGATTAAGGAATGTACGCAAGTTAAATAGTGGAGTAATTACTTACTCTTCTTTTGCCTTCATTCCAACTTCAGTTGGACGAGATGTCTTGATTTACTGTCCCAATGAAACTTAAGTAAGGATAACAGATTAGTTTAGAATGTAGTATTAGGGGTTGTATTGCTAACGGACAAGTTATACAGGACTATAATAATAATATTTATTGTCATTTAACTAAGTCGTACTTAATAATTTAAATTAAGTAATGCAGGGATTATATATTCTGGAACACAATGCTCTATTTTGTACAACCTTCTTTTGTATTTGAGTATCACGAGAAGATCTATAGGGATTAGGGACAGTTTCCTAGAAAAAAGTGAGGCTTTCTGTTAATTTAAAGCAAGGTGAGTTTCTTATGACACACAGTAATAAAGTATTTGATTCTGTTAATATATGATACATGGTCAGCTTTTGGCTCAGCTTTTAGCTCAACTTTTATAACTTGTCTATTGGTAGTAATCTGATGGCAGCAAAGGGCTGTGTGACCCAGAAGATGATGAAATAGTGCTATGTTCATAGTTTTATCTGTTATTCTGTAGGCATATGTGTCAAAATAATGTGGAATTTGGGTGTTGAGACTTGAGACACTAAAATTTGGAACACTGGCCCCTTAGAATGCCCAACCAGTTGCATTAAGTACATAATGCTGGTAGAGAGAACAGGACTAAAGTGCGACGTCCAGTATATGCTTTATACTAATAAGGATGCGCTTCGATTGCTTGCCTGGAATTTCATGCTTCATTCTTTATAGAATTTTGACTGACTGCTTCTTTTACAGCTTTAAAAGAGATGCCTATAGCTGTGATGACTGAGAAGGCGAAGTCCCAACATTACGAGCTTCCTACGTCTTTCTTCAAGTTTGTTCTTGGAAAGCACTTCAAATACAGGCAAGTATCTCCATAACTCTAAAGTTTCACCCTCCTTCTGGGTTACAAATATACATTTTTAGTACTCCATTCTCATTGCGATACTTTATTCCTATATGTTGCACTTCTAAGAGAGTGATATTATTAGAAGAAGTCAATAATAATGTTCTGTTTTATCACGACATACGCTGTTCAAATTTAATCTGATAGTCTTACTTGGCTTATGTTTGCTATAAGCAGCTGCTGTTATTTCCGCGACAAGTCAAGCACTTTAGAGGATGCTGAAAAAGCGATGATGGAATTATACTGTGAAAGGTCACAGCTGAAAGATGGTCACACTGTACTTGATGTTGGATGTGGCTGGGGATCCCTTTCTCTATACATAGCACAAAAATACTGTAGCTGCAAAGTTACTGGAATTTGCAATTCAGTGACTCAAAAAGCACATGTCGAAGAGCAGTGCCGGTACTCTTTTTGATATGCTTTCGATGGCTTAAGCATATTGTTGTTATGTTTTATTTGATCTAGGAAACATACAAACGTTTCTATATCATACTTCATTTACTTATCAGAAAAAATATCCTGCTTCATTAGTCTTTCGAACTTGCTGTTACGAAATCCATTTGGTGTTGGCTCTAGTTATTGTCTAAATAACCTCATCTGAGAATCTTGTTTATGTTAATTTAACCAGAGTCTTTCCTCAAAAACGTTCACCACTATGTGGATTGTGTACACATTCTGGTGTGTTCCTATAGCTGGACAAAATTTTCTAAATGTTGATTTAGTGAGATGGGTTTGTATAGTTTCTCTTCTAGAATAATGGAAAGATCAAGTTCTATATTGAGAACTATCTTATTTTCCTGTGGTTTATGTGTTTAGGGAATTTCAGCTGCAGAATGTGGAGATCATAGTTGCAGATATTAGCACATTTGAGATGGAAGGTTCCTATGATCGAATATTGTCTATTGAAATGTTTGAGGTATTGTGTTTAAACAGAGTATTTGTTCTCAGGTTACAATTTACAGTTATGATATATAGCTAATAAATATTTTCACTTCATAGCATATGAAGAACTACGGATATCTCCTCAAGAAGATCTCCAGATGGATGAAGCCAGATAGTCTTCTTTTTGTTCATCATTTTTGCCACAAGGCATTCGCTTACCACTTCGAGGTACATACATTGATCTGCTGATGCATTGGTTTTTAGATAATGACGAATCTATTCACTAGAATAAATTCGAATATCAATCATTCCCTACTTCAATTACAGATATAGTATATAATTTTCTGCAGGATGTTAATGATGATGATTGGATCACTCGCTACTTCTTCAGTGGCGGTACGATGCCTTCTGCAAATCTCCTCCTTTATTTTCAGGTGAGCTTATAAAATCCAACATGCTGCTTGTTTCTTACATCTAGTACATTCGATCACATTCCATTGAAAGATGCATAAATGACTAACAACTACCAGAAGTCACATGAAACAAGTATTTTGCAGTTGAAAGAACATGCCTTTTGTGGCCTTAAACCATTTTATGATTTCTTAGTGTTTAAGGTGATGTTTGCATGCAGGATGATGTTTCTGTGGTTAATCACTGGCTCGTTAACGGAAAGCATTATGCACAGACAAGGTGAGCATAGAACATGATTGATGTATGAGCTATAAAATGACATGGTTTGCCAATTTGAATATTTTAAATAAAAAAGAAGGAAAAAACATGTGTGGTGCTGTTTAATGGGTTTTAGCTTACGAGAATAACCTTGCTCATTTGATCAAACAACTAAACTAGAATACCCCTTTTCAGTGAAGAATGGCTTAAGAGAATGGACCAGAACAAAACTTCCATAAAGCCAATAATGGAGTCAACTTATGGGAAGGATTCAGCTGTTAAGTGGACTGTCTATTGGAGAACGTTTTTCATTTCAGTTGCTGAACTGTTTGACTACAACAATGGAGAAGAATGGATGGTTGCACATTTCCTCTTCAAGAAGAAATGATTTGGCAACTGTCCCCTCTTATACTGCAAACAAACTGTAGAAGAAATAAGCATGTCTGCTCAGCTGTCCACAAGCATTTTTCCCAAAAGCTTCAATTAGTGAAACACTCTGTACGTCTCATATTTGAAGAGGTGGATCTTGCACTGATCTCCTTACTTACAGAGCATTAGGAGATCTAGTAGACGATGTGCCGATTGCTGTGATCTTAATTTGCATATTAGTTTCTTGCCTAAAGCATTTAGGAGGATGTATTGCTATCAATGTTGTTCCTAATCAAGTTTTGCCCATCAAATTCAAATTCTAGAGTAGAACTTATTGACTCCACTAGTTAGGAGTAGCCCGGGCCCAATTATTATAAAATTTCTTTCTTCTCCTATGAAGTTGCCTCGGACAGTTGTAGTGTCTATGAAAGATCAAAATTGATCTCACGTGGTAATTTAGTGCTTTTGATTTTCGTCATCCCATTGTAACTATTTGTATGATTAAGATGGCGATTCTCAAATGCTTTGCAAACTACTCTAGACGATTTGGAACTATAGCGTGTAAATGATCAAATGAAAATCACAGGTCACCTGGTAATTTAGTGCTTTTGATTTTTGTTACCCTAACTATTTGCATGACTAAAATTGTGACTCTCAACTACTTTGGAAACTGCTTAGACAAAGCTCTAGATGATTACATGTTCCTCGGTTACGTTCCACAGAGAAATATTCAAAGTAAAATATTACAACTCCCTAAAATTCTGATTGGATATTTTGACAGTCGAAGGACAAGCGCAGTTGACAATTGAGATACAAAACATGTGGTATGCATCTCCATGGACACAACGGAAAGTTACTTTGTTTACCAAAAAAAACACTGATGAGCTAAAAGAATGATTTAATATCTTCACTTCAGCAATGATAAATCAAGTTCATAATAGGAATAGCAAAATTCACTTGACCCACATAGGAAAACCTCTGCTTTCAACATAACGAACCATCGTCACATGTTAGCTAGTATTTTTTTCATGTATGCTGGTGCTAGTAAAAATAGTGCTCACTATTGAAATTGAAATAAGTAACCTCAAGAAAAAGAGTATTATGTACAACATGGATACAGGAGGGTACTTCATGGCACAATATTATATGCAAAAGAGGATAAAAGTACAGTTAGATCTGGGGTACTAAATTTCAAGCATAGTCAACTTCATTGACTGGGCTTTGGTTGTAATCAGCAAATCTCACAGTGATATACGAATGACGAACATATCTGAAAATGCATGGAAGAAGAGTGAGGATTTTGAATCTTATTGTCTCATCCAGTATTGGTGAAATTGAACGAATTAATTGGGCAAAACCACCTGCACTCAAAGGAAAAAAGAGTAAGAAGACAAAAACAATGCTTAAGTCAAGGAGCCAAGGAAGCATAAGAGAGCATCCGACAAAATAAAATATTGAATTACCTTTTCTGCAATAATAGGCACCGTCGCAACTTCTATCTGTCATATACATTCTAACTGACACATACATTTTGGATGAACATGTTTGTATCACTATTTTCTTAACTTGCATTCCTTGCTTCACAGATAAACTAATACCTTTATCGACAGGATATTTGAGAGTTGGTTAATCTATTTTTGCAATTGGAGAGGCACTTAGTATCCAAATATCTATTTTTGCAATTGAAGAGGCACTTAGCATCCAAATATGAGCATCGTGCTTCATCTTTTATTAAAAAAAAAAAAAAAAAAAAAAAAAAAAAAAAAAAAAAAAAAAAAAAAAAAAAAAAAAAAAAAAAGCCCAAGAATATCAGGTTACGCAACAACAATTTAAAGTTGCCTCAGTAAGCATGGTCATATATGGTGCACCTTAACGATAGACTTGTTACACACCTCTGTTGTTATGATCTGTATGTGCAACTTGCACTCGGTCCATTTCAAAAGTAAAACATGACTTAATTTTCACAAAGGCAAAATACATAACTTGCCCCTTAAACTATGGACCAAATCCCTGTTACACACTTTCTTACTACAAAAATTATCTTACACATTTAACTTTTTCAGAGTGTGTCTAATACACACCTCTTTTTTCTTGACCAGTTTACCAAAAGATGTATAATGTCACGCACCAATAAAGTCATGACATGTGTCATTATTATTTTTTAAAAAGGAAAATATTTAAAATTACTCTTATACCCCCAATTTGAAAATCCTTTTAACTTCTCCATCTTCTACTGCCGTGCGCCGTCGATGGCACCACAAGAAAAAAGTCATAACCACAGCTTATTAGCTTCACCCATATTCAATTTTGCATTGATTCCTCCATAGCAAACCCAAGACCGAGAATAGAAGAGATGAAAACTGAAATTGCAACTCCTATATTTTTCATTTTCCTCTTCCATTTTCAGATCTCATACTACACTCAAACAAAGTAAATCAAAGTCAATTTTTCATTTCCATGAATTAAACAACTTTATTATGAATAGATCTCAAACCTACCCTTATAGGAAGGAAACTGAGTTGGGATTTTATAATTTTAGTCATTCTCATGAAATATTAAAAAAATTCTTTTTTATTTATGTAAAGATTAAATAGTTTGTGGGTTTTAATGACAGAAAAAAAAGCGACAGAAGTTTGAAAGACAATTTTAAACAAAATTTATAGCACTTCCTTTAAATTATTTACCATGAGTTTTGTGAATTTTTGAAATTTCAGAGGAAGAGACGAAACAGAATGGGTGTTTGGGGAAGGCCGGAGAGGAAGGAGGTGGGTCCTAGTAGTTTGGGCAAGACAGGAGACAGAGATTATTAGTTTGGAAACTTTTTTATTTGATAAAAATGGAAAATAAAAGAAATACACGCGCTCATTATTTTTGTTAAAACACTCGCGAGCCACGTATCAAAAAAGGTGTGTATTAGACACACTTTGAAAAGGTTGAGTGTGTAAAATGATTTTCGGGGTCAGAAAGTGTGTAACAAGGATTTGGTCCATAGGTCGAGAGGTAACTTATGTATTTTGCCTTTCACAAAAGAAAAACTTCTTTGCTTATTCAAACATCCTTCAATTGAAGTCTTCAGAAAGAAAATTGATAAATTTAGAAGCTATATGAAAAATACCACCAAACATATATTGGAACTATGATCAGGAATTAACTTCGATGATTCTTTAAATAGGAAGAAGGACAAACCAAATGAAGAACCCATGTACCTTCCAGGATCAATGCTATATTCCTAATAGAACTCTATTTGCTTCTTCACTTCCAACAGTGCGCTTTGATGCAGCAGAATTTTTAAGCAATAGACAGTGAAGAAGAAACTCACTTGTGAATACATGAAAGTTCCTATGAAGATAATGGCAGCTCCAAGTGCATTGATGAGTCGAACAGGTATTTGGAAGATTATGATGGAGGTAACAATGAAAGATATCCGCTTCATTGTATTTCTATGCTAAACAACAGGTGAGAAATCTCATCCAATGACATATAAAACAACTGGTTATATAAGTGATAGCATATGTCATGTGCTGATACTCTATACGAAACCCAAAGACAAAAACTGTTAATAGGATAGTCATAAAATATTTCGTGAAAAAAACTTTTACTATAAGCATCCAAGTAGGAAAACTATCAGCAATAACATAACAAGAGCTATCACATAGTTTATTAAATGATTCAGAAGTATGCAAAAGAGAGAGTTAGAGACTAAGGCAGCATCCATTAATATAGACACAAGCACAGCATCCATAATCACCTTATACCTGACTGATGCCTAGGAAAAAAGGGATTAATATAAAGTACCTTTAGTTTTTATCAACATTCTAAAATAGTCAAACAAAACAACCATGATTCAAGTAATATGGAGGACGATGTAAACTCAACTCAAACTGCAGCAACCAAGATACATATTCAATAATTGAGGTACAACTATTCCTCAGCAAATACTAGGAGCATGCATCATGAAAAGTGGAAGTTGTCAATCCTCACCAATTAACAAAATTGGATCCTATTTGAGAGAGTGTGTTTTGCCATCCTATTTCCCACCTTTCGGAACCCTCCATTGCAATTGCAAAAGGCGTAAACATTAATAGAGATATAATTGCCTGTAGTAACACTCAACATGATTTCAGAATCTAACAACAAATATATTCAAAGTACCAGCATGAATAATCAAATATCACTCAAGTAATAGCTTGTTTAAATGTAATCTAATTAATTGCTCCCACTAACAATGTTGAAGTTGAGCTCGGCAGCAGCCAAAAATGCGCAACGGCATGATGGGCACAAGTGACAAATTAGTACTAAAAGCCGGCTAACTACTCTTGATGATGTGAAAGAAATTGCAAGTTCAGACATACTAACAGTCACACGCCCAGTTGTATGGGCAACTGAATTCTGTCACCCAGAAAAATAAATGGATAAAAATATTAATGGGAAATAATGAAAATTGAGTCACATGCTCTCTTTATCTCTAAATGAATGACGGAGTTCAGAGTCACTGAATTGGATCACACTTACTTGTTTTCTTTTAAAGCGAAATAAAATAATTTGATTCAATTTCGAAGGTGGCTATGATGCTATCAGTGCTTCTTCCATCTTTTCTTTAGCCGAGAGTTTATCGGAAATAGTCTTCCTGCCTTTATATGGTAGGGGTAAGGTTGCATACATCTTATCCTCCCCAAACCCCACTTGTGGGAACACACTGGCCAGTTGTTGTTGTGGGATTCAATTTCGCAGGCAGTTCATTCATCCAGAAAATCTTCTTATAACGAAAACATTTAAATTTACAGGTACATAAAGATTTTCAGTAACTGAAAACTCAAATTCGTAGTATGCAACTCTTAGAATATCAACACATATAACTCAAAATAAACAGAGAAATACTCCGCTTTATTTCATTTATAAGCCAAGATTCTCTACATCTAGTCATTACAGCCAGGAAATAGAAAGTACCCATTTACCATCAAGAATTTCAATATCTTTTACCACCTTCTATAGATCACAGAGCAGAAACCCACCAGCATCTCACAGTTCTTTTAGCTTTTTCTTGTAGCAGAAATCCATATAAAATCTACAAGAAAGAGGAAACTGTTTTGTAACAGAGTGCAGATCTTGGCTTATTGAAAGGAAATTGGATGGGCGGAGATGACGGCCGGCGGTTTCCTTTCTATCTTCTTAAAGCAAATTAGAAAGCGGCAGACTGGCGGGCGTTCATTCTGGGGATGTACGTGCCAGAACTGGGTGAAAACAGCGATAACACGTGTGTTAGGCTAAACAATTTTAGTTTCCCAAAATACCCCTAACGACCCTAAGCTCCTCAAATTGTGGCTTATTAATAAGAGGAATTAATACTTCTGGTTAATGCATCTAATTGAGTTACTTAAGACACATGGAATGACTTTCCAGCTAGGGACTCTCCTACCATCAGAACCAGAAATAAGCAATGAGTTTCTGGACAGAAATGTGTAAACAAAGCACAACATCAATGATGACGTGAGCAATATATGAGATTTCAGAAAATGGCTTTCAGAGAAAGTAAGAGTTTACCTCACAATAGGGATAATTAAGTAATCATTGTTTATTCCTTGAAGGGATAGGTGTAATGCCCCGAGCCTGGGATCATGAGTACTGTTACGCGGCGCCTTCCTGAGATTCCTTGGAAGGGCGACGTAAGGCTAAGCAACTGAT